CTTTCTAGAGTCTCAACAAAGATGTTGAGACTCTAGAAAGAGAGCAGAGAAGATCAACAAAGAGGGGATGGGGGGATGAGGCTAAAACATATGAGGAACTGTTGCAGGAAATGGGTATGTCTAGTTTAATGAAAAGAAGGACTAGGGGAGACATGATAGCAGTGTTCCAATATTTCAGGGGTTGCCACAAAGAAGAGGGAGTCAAACTATTCTCCAAAGCACCTGAGGGTAGGACAAGAAGCAATGAGTGGAAATTAATCAAGGAGAGAAGCAACTTAGAACTAAGGAGAAATTTCCTGACAATGAATCAGTGGAACAACTTGCCTCCAGAAGTTGTGAATGCTCGAACACTGAAAGTTTTTAAGATGTTGGATAACCATTTGTCTGAAGTAGTGTAAGGTTCCCTGCCGGGGTGGGGTGGGGTATTGGACTAGAAGACCTCCAAGTTCCCTTCCAACTCTGTTATTCTATATTCTAAGTATAGAACAGCAGAGTGGAAAATAGAGCATGCCATCCCAACTTCCTCATCTTCTCCAAAAGCATTACAAAAATTAACCAGATCTTGTTCTTTAAGACAAAGGTATCAATATCAATTCCTCCCCCTTCGGATGGATGATCTGGACTTCTCTCTCAAACCCTAATGGGCCAAAAGTCAGTGGCAGGGTTTTTGCCCTGGAAATGGGAAATACCTATTGAGGTGATGTGGAAAACTCACAAAAGGTAATGTTGAACCGAAAGCCACTTTTGTGTGAAAATCTGTAGAGATTCTCAGTCATCCAGGTCATGGTGGTCCCACAGGTGCTTTTTTTCAGGAGCAACTGGACTTTCTGGTTTTTTCTTCAAAGACGTTTCGCTTCTCATCCAAGAAGCTTCTTCAGCTCTGACTGGATGACGGGGAATGGAAGGATTTATCCACCATCCTGTCAGAGCTGAAGAAGCTTCTTGGATGAGAAGCGAAACGTCTTCAAAGACAAAAACAAGGAAGTCCAGTTGCCTCCTGAAAAAGCACCTTTGGGACAGTTTTGTGTGAAGTTCTTCTTTTCAATAGAAGGCACAGACCCAACCGTCTCCTCCATAAAACCAGGCAGAAAAGAATAAAGAATCCTGGTTTTTAATTGTCACAGCCCCACCCACTTTATTATTTGCCCCTCAAAGGGTCCCAGGCAGATTTCACCTTTGTTGTGATCAGCATTTCTGGCCCTCTTTCTGCCACAGCATCCAGGAGAAGATGCAGTTGTCATCTCAGGAGTCAAACAATCACAGTATCGAGAAACTCCTTCTACCAATACTGGAAGGCAGAAGACAATACACGGAAGATGTAGTTTTCACCTCAGGAATCAAACGATCACAACACCCAGAATCTCTTTCTGCCCCTAAAAAAGGCAGAAAATCCCAAGAATGCTCTAGTTTTGCTCTTGGGAAGATGCTACCCCCAATACCCAAATAGGGCTCCATATCTTTCTCAGTCAAAACAATTGAAAGAAATATTTTAAGTAGCTGAAACCCATAAGATCCCCAAATCCTGCACTGCTGAAAGTTCACAGGCAGAACTCAAGGTGACTGCCAAAAATCTCATGAGTGTTGATCATTTTGCAAATGGGGGTGTGATGCTAGTTCGCCTCCTCATGGTGCACCCTGGATAGCACAGCAGTATGAACCAAACAATTAGCAACAACTGGCAGCCAAATTGGCAGTTTAGAATTGGCAGTTAACATTAGCAACAACTGGCAGCCAAACTGGCAGTTTAGAATTGGCAGTTAACGACAGTTGGAAGCCAGACACCATTGTAGAACTCCCGGCTCTCTAAATACATGGCAACAGATAGTTGTGTTAATCAGGTGCTGAGCCTAACAGGACATAGCAAGGATAGTTTCCAGCGAGGCTTAAAAACTACAGCGGTGTTCATTGACCTTACGGCAGCATATGTTACCCTGTGGAAGAAGGGTCTGCACAATAGAAGAATTGGCTCAGCAAATTACACCTTCCACCAGAATGCAAAAAGGCCAAAGTAATATCACTTCTGAAGCCTGGCAAACCACAAGACAGAGTACCCTTCAATATGACTGTGGTGCTCCTTGACAAAATTCATCACATTGTGTCTGGATGTTCATCAAGAGATTACACCGGGCCAATGTCTGATCATTTGAACTATTATAAGTCCATGTATTTGCCATACGCTAAATACATAAATAATTTTGCAACATATTAGGAAGTGGTGCCCATGTCACAATGGGACCTAGATCTGGGGTATTTCCATTGCTTTTTTGGGGACATATTGGAAGACCTCCTTGCTTTTCCACGAGCATGTATGTATGATCTTCTAAACTTTAAGTGCATCACACATAGATCATCTGGAAGAATCCTCTCAAATTATCTTCCTGCTTCACCTGATTTAGAATATTTGTTTTCAATATAGCTCTTATATAGTAAGAGTGAAGGATGACTGAAGGAAACAGTCCTGCTGATAACCAGTTCTCTTACCACTTCCTCAAATTTCTAACTTGAACCCAGTCATCTCCAGATATTGCAAATCAAAACTTTTGCCCATCCAACGTTTGCTTTTCCAATTCATGCCTGCCTTACATCTTTTGTGATTCCTCTGCTTAGAATAGACAGCAAAGTTTTTAGCCATAGAATCAATGGAGAGTTTTCTTTTGACTTCACCAGTATTTTAGGACTTTCTCTTGCTTTCTCAGCAAGGTGAAAGAAAGATCTGAATGCCTCACCTTTAATTTCTTCTGGCATCTTCCAAGTTGTCTGTAAAAAAAAGATATATCAGGAATCAGACTGGATGGAAAGGAAAGAATTTGGTATCACTCATTCCTGATACTTTTCTTGATGTATTTAAGATGCAGTATAAAGATTAAATGGAAAGATATCAGAATCAGCCTCAGTACTGAACAACAAACATGGAAGTATTGGATAGCTTTTGCCTTTTAGGATCAATTATTAACAGCAAAGGAACAAGCAGTCAAGAAATTAACCACACCCCAGTGCTTGGCAGAAGAGACATGATATAAAGGTAAAGCAAGAAATCACTTTGTAAGACACTATTTAGGGAGATTAAGTAGGAAGATTGTTAAAAGTAAAAGTAAAGTTGGTTTATTTGATTAAGGTTAGAGTCGATGGTTATTTCTACAAACCTTTAATGGAATTTTGCTAACCCGACTAAGTGAAGAGGATTTAAAGATTTGTTTATAGAAAAAAAGATGAGATACGTGAAGAAGAAATACAGTATATGGGAAGAAGACATATTTGGCTGAAATATTAGAGAAGGTGATAATTGATTAAACTTGTTTATACTTATTCTGGAGGGGAAAGTCATTTCTTTCTGTATTTTCTTCCTTCCGACTCTGCACCTTCTACTTTTATCTACTTTTTTACTTTGGTTTTAGTTCTTTTTTTTTTAACTATGATGTTCAATAAAATTATTACAAAATAATTTAAAGAAAAACTATTTTTCTTCCATTGCAGTGGGAGTCCTCACAATCAAAAAGCCCTCACAGTCACAAAGGCCTCATAGTCACAAAGTGCTGTGTTTCTTCAATGCTGCCCACAGCAGGAACCTCATCACAAGACTAGAAAACACACCTACTCACCAAAACATACTAAACGAGTCCTACTAATCATTCCACCACAATATCCTTAGCACACATGTGATCCAAACTAGTGTGCACCCTGCTTGCAAAATAAAGCCCCCACACGCAGAACCCCTGCACAGTCCAGTGATGGCAAACCTTTTCGGCACAGAGTGCCAAAAAGAGAGCATGTGCGCGTACACGAGGAGCTGCCCAGGGAGCATACGCATGCTGGAAAATGAACTTCCGTTTCCTGCACTCCGGTTACTGCCGCGCATGTGCATGTGACAATCAGCTAGCCGGCGCCCATGTTCATGCCAGAAAACCAAAAACCTGCTCTTCCAGTTTCTGGCACTGCCACACACATGAAGGCAAGCTGATCATTGCGTGCGCATGCGTGCCAGAAACCCAGAAGAGGAATGGGCGATGCAGGGTGTACCAGACGGCGTGGCCCCATATGCTACTTCGAACATGTATGTCATAGGTTCACCATCACGGCTCTAGTCTCTCCAAAGCAAAGCTGTTGTTGGAAGACAATTAATCTTCAGGCAAAGGAACCTGGCATGCTTCTACCCAAGCCTCAAAATGCAACTCCACTGAATCTCAGCCATGAAATACAGGTAGTCCTCAACTTACAGCAGTGACCATTCAAAGTTACAACGGCACTGAAAAAAGTGACTTATCACCATTTTTCACACTTACCATTGCAGCATCCCCACGGTCACATGATCAAAATCGAGACATTTGAGAACTGACTCACGTTTATGACGACTGCAGTGTCCCGGGGGGGGGGGTGATATGATCTCTTTCTGTGACCTTCTGACAAGTCAACGGGAAAGGCAGATTCACTTAACCATTGTGATACCACTGCGGTGATTCGCTTAATAATAACTGTGGCAAGAAGGGTCATCAAATGGGGGAAAATTCACTTAACAAATGTTTCATTTAGTGGCAGAAATGTTGGGCTCAATTATGGCCTAAGCTGAGGACTACCTGTATGCACAAATCTGAGAGGCCCAGCTGCTGTCCAGGCAACCCGTTCAGCCTTGTTAGCCAGCAGCCAGGAGCCTGCATGCTTTCCCTGCCTCTTACACAGTACAGGTAGTCCTCGACTTATGACCACAACTGAGCCAAGAGATTTCTGTTGTTAAGTGAGACATTTGTTAAGTGAATTTTACCACCTTTCTTGCCTCCATTGTTAAGTGAATCACTGCAGTTGAGAAGTTAGTAACCTGATTGTTAAGTGAATCTGCATGGATTTTTGCTTGTCAGAAGGTTGCAAAAGGGGATCTTATGACACAGCAAAGGTCATAAATATGAACCAGTTACCAAGCATCTGAATTTTGATCTCATGACCATGGGGATGCTGGAAAGGTGATAACTGTGGGAAGACGGTCACAAATCACTTTTTTTCAGTGTTGTTGTAAGTTTGAACGGCCACTAAATGAACTGTTGTACGTCGAGGACTACCTGTATTTACTCCCAGTCCCACTCGGCCTCCACATCGCACAGCTGTTGATGTTGCTCTCTTTCCTTCAATCAAGACCAAAACTGAAAAATCATCAATTGATTCAAAGCACAGATTGTGTAAAGAGGCGGAAGTAACAGTAGATCCTATACTTAGCTCATTGCACAATACAGGCTGATAAAGTCTTGGCTCAAACCGCATCAGATTTAAGAGGTTGAAAAGAAGTTTCTATAAGTAATGTGGCAATACCAGGAGAAAGTAGAAGACAAAGAATTGGAGAAGATCAGAAAGTATCAATATTTGAACATTGAACTTGAAAGATAACATAAACCGGTCATGGTAGTTTCAGGTTATCAGCCAACTGAATGACATACCAAAAAAATCTTAGATCTGTGCATTTGTACATTTCCATCTGTCAATTACAGAAGGCCACACTGTTTGGCTCTCTCTCTATATATATATAAGGTAAAGGTAAAGGTTCTCCTAGCCAACACCATCTTTAAAATTGGCAGCTATGGCTTCACATTGTTGTGAATAGAGAATAATAACAATACAAAAATTGGAACCATAAAATTGAGAAAGTAGCAGAAAATTAAGAAGTCACATTGCTCTGGGACTTTAGAGTTCAAATAGACAGGCACCTGCCATATAACACCCCAGATTTTAAAAAATGTGGATAGTGGATGTTGTAGTACCTGGAGACAGCAATAAGACAAGAGAAAAAAATGGAGAAAATCACAAAATATAAAGAATTTCAAATACGAATAGAATGACTGTGGAAAAACAATTGCTATCAACCTGCCTTCCATCAAGGACCTATACACTGCATGAGTCAAAAAGAGGGTCGTGAAAATATTTACAGACCCCTTGCATCCTGGACATAAATTGTTTCAACTCCTACCCTCAAAATAATGCTATAGAGCACTGCACACAACAAGACCCAAGAACAGTTTTTTCCTCCAAAGCCATCACTCTGCTAAACAATTTCCTCACCACAATTTCCTCACCACTGTCAACTATTCAATAAGCCTGCATTACTATTACCATTAGTCTTCTCATCGTTCCTATCACCCATCTTCTCCCACTTATGACTGCAGGACTGTTAAGTTTGTTGCTTTGTATCCTTATGATTTATATTGATAGTGATTGTTTCCCGATTGCTTATTTGTATCCTGTGACTCTCATTAAGTGTTGTACCATTCTTGACGAATGTATCTTGTCTTTGTATCAGTCTATGTACACTGAGAGCATATGCACGAAAGACAAATTCCTTGTATGTCCAATCACACTTGGCCAATAAAGAATTCTATTCTATTCTAAAAATAATAATAAAGCAAAGGTAGTACCAATAGTCATAACTGCCTTTGGTGCAGCCTGAAAACAACTGGAGCACCATTTAGCACTCTCGGCATTGATAAAATCACCACCAGTAAATTGCAAAAGGCAGCTTGACTTGGAACTGCTTACATCCTCGGACAACTTGTTTAACAACATAAAACATCAACCTCTGCCTATCCCTTCTCCTTGGGAAGGACTCGGTAGGTGGACAAAAATGCCAAATCCAGTCTAAACTTATCCCCACGGCATGAAAGCCGTCACAGGACTAGAAAACACGCGTACTCACCAAAATGCAATCAGGCAGTCCTCGCAATCATCGCAATGCACGTATCCTTAACAGCACTAGCAGCACGGATGCGCGACCCAAACTAGCGCATCCCGATTGCATAATAAAAACCCCGATCCCCCGCAGGACTCCTACATGAATTCTAGTCACCCCACCATAGTTGTGGTTGGAAAGCGATTAACCCTCAGGCAAAGAGGCAGGGACGATTCTGCACAAGCCTCAAAGGGAAGCGGGCAACCCCGATTGTGAATCAACGTCTGAACGCGTGAGATTCGGGAAGCCGTGAGGGAGGAGAGGCAATGTTCACTCTCGTTAGGCTGTAGCCAGAAACCTGATCCTTCCCTACCCAATTCTGGACGAGAAGACAACTGCCCGGTCTTCAGATATTGTAGCTTGCGAAAGTTACCTGCTTCTCCCTTCCTTCTTCGGCCAACAACGCAGCTGCTTCTATTCACTCCCCCTGCGTTGCAGATCTGAGTGATTACTAAGAGAAAACGAATCGGCCGGGGACTGAGTTTCTACTCTCAATTGGCTACTCCCTTGCTGCGATTTTCCAAACAGCGCAGCTGAAAAAACCCTCCGCCTTCCAAGGACTGCGAGCGTGCACCGCCCGAGGGTTTCTTTCCTCCCCCGCGTCTTGCAGCTTTGGAGCCTAAACCAGGGATCTCTTACAACTTTAAGCCTGGAGGACTTCAACTCCGAGAATTCCGCAGCTATTCTGGAAGTTGAAGTCCTCCAGGCTTAAAGTTGTCAAGGTTGGAGACCCCTGGCCTAAATGACAGCCTGCCGGAAGACCACCGACTCCGGAATCCTGGCGAAACAGCCTCGCTGTGTTTGTTTGTTTTGCTGCTGCCCGATCCAATCAAATCCCTGTGGCCAGAGTTACAAAAGGCGAGTGACTCCATCCGCAAGGCAAACCGACCGTGCAAAAAACTATTAAGAGGCAAAGCGCCGCAACTTTGTTCCAACTTTTTAAGATGGTGGACTTCAACTCCCAGAATTCCTCGGTCCGAAACGCTGCCCGCTGACAGTTCAAAAGAGCCAGAGTGGCGCAGTGGTCAGAGTACAGAACTGCAGGCTTCTTACAGTCCCTTTTTACAGTCTTTTTGGGCCCCCACAGTACCTCCACAAGATCTCTTCTGCCACGTGCCCTGGATTGTTCACGCTACGAAGGGGTCAGTTCTTTGCCATCAGTGCTGACAGAGGGAAGGAGGGCTTGTATTTCTTCCAAGTGGAACTGCTGTTGCTCTTTGAGATCATTGGCAGGGAGCCCTGTGTTATATACTTCTTATAAGGTGTGGCTGAGGATAAGGTGGAGAGTCCTTCCCTACTTTCATTGTTTTTGATGACTTTACAAAATAGACTGGGATTTCTGTCTTGCCAAGAAATTGTGTGTGGATTCAGCTTTTACTTCGGTGGGCCTTAACTATGTTAGATCATTTTCTCCAATATTTTGTTGTAACTGCTTCTTTTATTCTTCATGATGGTGTTTTCTTTCATAAATATTTTTCCCTATTTATTAAATTTTGCCATTAGGATTAATTTATTTCAGGGGTATTTTCACTGTAAGTTAAATCAAGTACAAAATGCTGAGCATAGCCAAATCTTCCAGTCCCTCTTCCTAACAGTCTATGGCGATTCTCAGTCATCCAAGTCATGGTTGTCCCAAATATGTTTTTCAAGAGGCAACTGGACTTTCTGCTTTTTCCTTGAAGACATTTTGCTTCTCATCCAAGAAGCTTCTTCATCTCTGGCTGGATGATCCTTCCTTTCCCCACCAACCAGTCAGAGCTAAAGAAGCTTCTTGGAGAAGCAAAACATCTTCAAAGAAAACCAGAAAGTCCAGTTGCCCTTTGAAAAAGCACCTTTGGGTCCTCTTAAGTTTTTAGTCCTCAGTCCTCTTGTAAACTCTATGCCAATGATAGCTAAACTTTTTTGGCTCGCGTGCAAACGTGGAGGAGCAGTTGCAGGAGGGTCGTGCGTGGGTGTGCCACACCCATAATGCTGTGTGTGTGACCCCAGCACGCATGCATGCGCAACCAGCACTCCCACCCCCAGCTTTTGGTGTGCTTTTTTCATCCTCCCCGGGCTCCAGAGGCTTTCTTAAGCTTCCCTTAAGCCTCCAGAGCGCAAAAATCCAATCCCATGGGCAAACCAGAAGTCCGTTCCCGAACTTCTGGTTTGCTCATAGGGCCGTTTTTTGCCCTCCGGAGCCTTCAGGGAAGTCCCCTGAAGGCGAAAAATGGCCCTATGGACAAACTGGAAGTCCATTCCCAAACTTCCGGTTTGCCCGTAGGGCAGGTTTTTCCCGCAAGCCTCCGGAGGGTGAAAAACGGCCTCAAAAGAAGGCCAAAGTCACTCTGTCAGCTATTCATCTTTCATCTCAGAGTCAGACTCTGAGGTGGGTGGTGTGGCGTGGCATGACAGCCGTAAGCCTTACTGATAGCTGTCAAGCCTGAATTTTAAGTGTGTGTGGGGTTGTTGATATCCTGGAGTGTTAATTCAGTTTGACACAGCATGGAGCCTTTAGCAAACACAGCACAACTATCCGATGAGCCATGTACATTCCAATGGCTCACTGATTGGAGGAGGAAGAGTTGTTGTGAAGCAACCACTTCTCATCTTGGTTGGACAATGTGACATTGTTTTGGAAATTTGAGAAAACTGAAACTTATATAGATATGAAAAGCCAGGGAACTTTAGTACTGGCTTTTCACTAGTTAGTGCCAATATGGTATGTCTAAATAAGTTTGTACTTTGAGTGAAGGAATGCCTCAGAGTTCAATTTGTGAAGGATGCGTTAGTGGTGGAATTCAATTTTTTTTACTACCGGTTCGGTAGGCGTGGCTTGGCAGGCATGGCAGGGGAAGATTACTGCAAAATCCCCATTCCTTCATGATCAGCTGGGACTCGGGAGGCAGAATATAGATGGGGGTGGGGGGGGGCAGTCAGAAGTGGTATTTACCAGTTCTCCGAATTACTCAAAATTTATATATATATGAATTGAAATACTTAATCACTATATGGATTAATAATTAATAATGGAAAAATTAATGTTGGAACTCTGGATGATTGGTGACATTATGGTCAATTGAAAATATGAATGTATATTATAAATTAATGGGAATTCTTTGTTCTAATCTCCACTTTTTCTCCTTGGAGATAGGTGATATTATAATACTTTAAAGNAAGACTTATTGTTATTTGATAGATAATTATGAATTCAAGGAAATAAGGATTGTTACAAATGAAAGAATATTAATGATAATTTGAACACATAATGCTCAATGACAGCGAAACATTCAGTTATGTTTAATGCAAAACCAGTGATGTTATTCTTAATCTTAAGAATTGATGCACAAAAACTTGTAACCAAACAATATGCTTGATGCAATGGAGGAAAGTTGGGTTTTTTTCTTGCTTTTGTTTTGTTTTTTCTTTAAGAAAAAGAATAAAAATATATATTAAAAAAAGAACAAAGGTGAAAAATACTTCCTCAAGTTCTGAAACCACAGAAACTATGTTCCGACCTAAACATAGTACACAAAATTATCTGCTATAACGTCCTACCTGTAAACAACTACTTCAACTTCAATTGCAATAATACATACTGCAAACTCAAAGTAAAGCGCTCCAAACTCGATTGCAGAAAATACTTCAGCAATAGTGTGGTCAATAGTTGGAACATACCTGATTCCTTGTTAGTTCCTCAAACCCCCATATCTTTAACCTTAAACTGTTCACCCTGGACCTCACACGTTTTCTAAGAGGTCCCTTATAGGGGCATGCACAAGTGCACCAGCTGGCCTACCATCTCTGTCCTACTGTCCCCATTGATACACATTTTATGTGTTCATGGTCATGTTATACTTATTTATACCCATCTATTTGTTCTAATCTCATGTCCATGTCTATACTAATACCTGTTACCTTGTACATGTTGGCAAATAAATAAATAAAATATACCTTGTTGCTGTTAAAATAAACGCAGCCTCCTTTGGAAACAGCAGCCAAATCCTGCTGTTTTTCTCCAGGCTCCAGAAAGAAATGGACTCTAAATAGAACCTGTCATCACATCATTAATCTTACTGACATGTCATCTTTTTTGTCATCATATTTAAATTATATCTATTTTTATCTTACTTTTACATTTACATTTCAATGACCTTTTAATTCAATTCCTCCCCTACAATTCTGCGTTCTTTTCCAAATTATTCAATTATCTGTTTCTTTTTGTATTTTGCATACTGATTTTCTATCCAGTGATTAAAAACATCCCCATATCTTATAATATTCTGATTCTTCCTTCTCTTTAATTGCCAACGTTAATTTGTTCATTTCTGCACAATCTATTTTTAACTACCCCTCCCTCGGAGGGAATTTTTCCCATTTTCCATTTTCTAAATCCAAGCTACTGCGCCCCCACCCTGCTTGCACAATAAACTCCCAAAACCAGGAGGATCCCTACATGAACTCTAATGTGTCCATCTCTAAGTTATAGCTGGAAAAAAAAGTTATAGCAATTAATTGTCACGCTAAAGGACAGACGCGCTTTGGCACTAGTCCAGGGTTGTCCAAACTTGGGAACTTTTAAGACTTATGGAATTCAACTCCCAGAATTCCCCAGCCTTCTGGGAGTTGAATCCCATAAGTCTTAAAGTTCCCAAGTTTGGACAGCCCTGCACTTGTCTCAAAAGGCCCGATGCGAGTCCGCCGAGAAATACGCGCGGATCCGCGAACCCCACCTTACCGTCCAGGCAGCCCGTTCAGTCTTGTTAGACCTCTAAATTTTGCAGTTTATTTTCGGTTTAACAAGGAAACCCGTCTCTCCTTTCCGACCAATTGTCCTACGGCCAGCCCCTTTTTTGCTCCAGATCTCATGGAGCAGCTCGCACAGTGGTTAACGCAGCCAGCAGGAAAAGAATTGCCCGGTGAGGGAACTTTGTAAAACTTTTTCGGCTTTCCCACGTTCCGACCTGCCCATAAAAAGACGCGGCCGCATAGTGGAGCTCAACGTTAAAAATGCGGGGAAATCCCCTCCGCGTCAGGCAGCAGCTCCTTTCCGAGGACCGTGAGGGGAACTTCCCCACCCACGTCAGGTGTTCCAGAGCCCCCTCTTCCCCATCTGAAAGCATAGCGCCCGATGGTTTCTTTCCTCACTCCGCGTTTTGGAGCGCTGAGTCTAAATAATACCCTGCCGGGATTCTGGAATCCGTGACCTTTGGCGAAATGACATGTCTCTCTAACGCTTCGTCCAATCAACGCGAAGCGCTGCCAATCTGCCCTAACCTCGCGCCATAGTTTTTCAAAGAAATGTCGTATTATGTATTTTTTTCTCTTTCCTCCAATGATGTGTGATTCCTTTTTCATCTTGTAATTGGTGTATTATTTTTTCTCCTTTTCTTTTTTTAGTTTGTGGGCTTTTTTGTTGGTCGGGAGGGCACCTCGGATCAAACGAATTGTGATAAGCCAGGAGCTCTCCTCTTTTCACGTGGTTGTGTCATCCAGGCCTGCAACTTTCTGGCCGGCTGCAGAGAAAAAGTTTCTCCATGGAACACAAGGTGCTATCAGTCCCTTTTCCATTTATATATGCACATAAACCTTCTCCTCGCACTGGAAACCTGCAAAAAGATCATGTAATTACTATGGCAGTGGTACTGAGGGCAGAAATTAGCATTGCAGGAATGATCCTTCCAGGATCCTCCCACCTCCGCTACTACTGGTTCAGCCGATCTTGGTTGAACTGGCAGCAACCCAAATCTGAAGGGGAAGGAAGAGAGAGAGAGAGAGGAGAAAACATTCATTTGAAGGTATCTCTCATGTTCGGAACAAATGCTCAACTCTACAAAGGTGCAAAAATCTTGCTCGGCAAGCATAAAGACATGGTAGCTGAAACATCACAGCTGTTTCTAATTTCTGTTATTAAAGGAAGTTTCAGAATATTTTTAAACCCCCGGTGGAATCGGGATCCTGAGAGTTTAGCTAAACCTTAATTAAATGCCTCCCAGAAATTGTTCTCAAAATCCACTTTACAATTTATAATCTGTGAGCATTTCCTAACAATAGAAACTTGGGTATGTTATTTGATTTCCACAGATTTGCCATCAATAGTTATAATTTAATAATTGGTTATTAAATATTAAGGAAGCACATATGGATTTTGTTACTAGGTATCTGCCAAACACTTCAGGAAATCTATAGTATTTGGACTTTGAAGTACATTATAAAGCGTAAAAGTAAAATTTTGGTTCAAAATTTCAGTTATCAACTAGAACAGAGGTGGCAACCCAGATGTGTCACATGCTGACCATGCCCACCCCTGTTTTAGTGAAGGGGGAAAAAGTCACAATACAGCATGTTATGACAACGTGACATTGCAGTTTTATACCCCTGTACTAGCTGTTTAAGTAAATTCTTAGCGCAGTTGAAATATGCCTTGAATCATTGAAGTTTTGAACCGAAATTTCAGATTCACACTTTTCAGTTCAAATTTGAAATGGTGTAGATTTGCTTAAGTGTTAGACATGTATACCTAATTTCAGATTTTTAGATTTTTAAGCATCTGACATTCCTGATAAATAGTCTTAAAACATAACAAATAACTTCAACAGAAATGAATAGTGCCACTTGGTTCTTTTATAGATTGGAGAATATGAGTCTAAAGTAGAATTGTGGATAAAACCCTCACAGATTGGATTTTAACACTCTCCCTTTCTATCCTACTGATTTCTCTCTCTTATGTGCATACTATGACTATTTAACTAAGACCCTTGATTTGAAGACTATTTGATCAAATCACCAAATTAGATCCCTTCTCCCAAGCCAATTGTC